CAGGGACTGTCTTTTTGCCTATCTTTGTATCGCCAGTGCTTAGCATAGTGCCTGGCACATAGTAGGTGCTTCATGATGTTTTACTGACCAACTCTAATATTGCAAAATATAGTTGTGATTGTGCTGTAGCCCAGTGCTAGACTATGAAGCTGGAAGGAACTTCTGATGTCATCTAGTCCAACCCTCTCTTTAAAAGTGAGAAGGCTAAGACCCAGAGAGATCAGAAAACTTGCCCGACGTCCCCTAGATAGCAAATGGCAGTGCTGGATTCAAACATGGATCCTCTGACTCAGAAATCCAGCCTCTTTTCCACTATATTATGCTGCCTCTGAAGTGATAAATTGTCTCAAGTCCCCAAAGAGCAAATATAGATACTAAATGCAAGTAGAAATTTTATCTGATTTAGTGATAACCAGATTCCAAAACTCTAAGACAATTTTCTTCAATGTTTCAAGGGTCTATCATTTACCCAGAGTGGATACTGCTTCAGATTATGAATAGGGCAATCCCACTATAACTTTGTAGATAACTTAGATCTTTTGAGTTGTGCTAATGGCCAAAAATTTGATCACTTTGAAACCAGCTTGATGATACATGTCTTTGAATTTAGTCAGGCAGGTCTTTGGACAACAGAGCTGTAGTTGACATCTTTCTAGCACCACTTTCCTGGCCTTCAGTTTCCTCATCTGTAAAAGGAAGAGATTCAGAGATATCAAAGAAAGAAGATATAGTTATAGCAGCTCTTTTTGTAGTGGTGCTGTCATTGTTCAGTCATGTCTGACTCTTCGTGACCGCATTTGGGCTTTTCTTGGCAAAGATACTGGAGTGGTTTGCCATTTCCTTCTCCAGCTCATTTTACAGATGAGGAACTGAGGCAAACAGGGTTAAGTGACTTGCCCAGGGTCACACAGCTAGTAAGTGTCTAAGGCCAGAATTGAACCCAGGAAGATGAGTCTTTCTGAGTCCAGGCCTGGTGCTCTACCCACTGTGCCACCTAGCTGCCCTTCTGTGGTATTAAAGACTTGAAAATTGAGGGGGTACCCATCAATAGAAAAATGGCTGAATGAATTGTAGTATATGAATGTAATGTAATACTATTGGGTCATAAGAAATGACAAAAGGGATAGTCCTTCTCCTATTGACTCTTCCCTTATTCCTATACTTCTCAACCCAACACCCCATCCCCCAACCTCCAACTCCACATCTACCTAACCCAAACACTGTGTTCTCTGGAATGCATGTTTCATAAACTAGATTTTATTTTAAAACTTTTCCTTTCTTGCTCATTCCATATCCCTGAACTCACTGAGACCTAGTTTGCTCTTCAGGACACAGGTTCCATGGTTACCCTTTCCAGCACTGTTGGCACTTTGACTCATACCTCACAACTAACAGGTCATGGTGGGGGAGTTGGATTGCTCCTTGCTCTTCACAGCTACTTTCTGGCTCTCCCCTAACTCAGTAACAAAGTCTCTTTCTTTGAGGTTCATTTCAGTCCAAATTTATTGCCTAATCAAGATTCTGGGAGCTATTGTCTACAGAGCTCCAGAACACCCCCTCCTCATGAAGTTCAGTGCCTGGGCCATAGTCTTTTCTCCCTGACTCTTGCCCTCATACTAGTTGGCTTCAAACTACATATGATACTCCCTCAAACAGGCTAACCTCCCAACTCCTCAGCTTACTTATTTCCCATCATCTACTCCTCCACCCCACCTCAGCTACACACAGATGGTAATACCCTTGATCTTGCCATCCTCCACAAGTTTATGAACTCTGAAATTTCTTCATCTGATTATAATCTGTGGTCATTCTACCTCTCCCTCCCTCTTGCAATTCCAAACCCTGTTCTTTGTCATCCTTACTACATCTAATTCCTCTGCCCTTCAGTTCTTTTCCCTTGCATTAGCTTTTTTTTTTGCTTTCCCATCTTGACTCTTTGTTGAACCAGTTCAATTCTACACTGTCCTTTTCTCTAGAGGACCTTGCCCTTTTATCCTGTTGAAGATTTTAACCTTTCAAGACCTAGCCTTGAAATATTCCCATTGTCTACTGCCTTTGCTCTTCTTACTCATGTGCTGCTGATGAAGAAAATCATGAAACTGCTGATTAGGTCCGCTACAAGTTTACATTGTATAATCTTAACTGGCCCCTCACTGCAGCCAGGCATTCTTAATCTATTCACTATTCCACTCACATGAGCAGCTTTTCCAGACTTTTCATCCCTTCTGGAACTTCCCACAGCCTCCCTTCCATTCAGCTGAGAACCTGGCATAACCCTGAGGGTCTTCCCCTCCCAGAGTGAGTTTTGTTTTCTGACTAGGAAAAAGAGGCCATTCTCTACTTCATTTCTTACCTGGCCTTAATCACTGAATGGGCGTTGCCTCAGACAAAGTGAGACCTATTAAAGGCCTCAGTTTAAAAAGGCCAAGGCCTTCCATGCATCCAGTTGTCCTGATTTGTATCTTGCCACTGGACCCAGATGGCTCCTGAGGAGAAAGTGAGGCTGGTGACTTTCCACAGCTCTTCCTCACTTAAATCCAATTCACTTGCATGTCATGGCATCACTTCCCTAATGTCATGGTTCTCTTGAAAATGAAGGACAAACAACAACAAAATACTTTACAGAAAAAAACAGGCTATTTGGTGAGGATTCCCTCTTTTCCCCTCTTCATCTCACATCACTCAGATGCCCTTTTGCCACTCTCTCCTCCCTTGCCCCTGGTTTACATGAATAGATGGCCCTTCTCCTTGCCAAGGTAAACCCCTCTACGTGCACATATGATCCCATTCCATCCTGTCTTCTTCCGCAGATTGCCCTTTCTATCATTCCTATTCTCACACTACTCTTCAATATCCTCCTGTCTACTGGCTGTTTCCCTCCTTTCTCCACCCCCCATTCTCAAAAAAACACTCAGTAGATTTGTTTGTCCTTGCTAGTTATCATGCTATAGCTCCCCTCCCTTTGGTGGTTAAACTCCTTGAGAAGGCCTCTACAATGGGCGATGTCTACTTCCTTTCCTCTCTTCTTAACTCACAAAGTTTGGCTTCTGACCTCATTATTAAACTGAAACTACTCTCCCCAGTGTTACCAATGATTTCTAAATTGCCAAATCTAATAGCTTTTTCTTAACTCTCGTGCTTCTTGAACTTTCTGCAGCCTTGGACTCTGTTGATCAACCTCTTCTTCTTGATGCTAGGTTTTTATCCTATTGCTTCTCCTGATTTTCCTCCTAGCTGTTTGCTTCTTCTTTGCCTCCTTTGCTGCATCTTCATCCAGGTCATGTCCCTTAACTGTGGGTTTCCCTGGGCTTTTCTTATATACTGTTTCACTGAATCTTATCAGCTTCCCTAGATTCAATTATCATCTCTATGCTGATGATTCTTGTATCTCCTTAACTAGCCTTAACCTCTCTGCTAACCTCCAGTCTCACATCTGCAGTTGCCTACTGTATATTTCAAACTAGATGTCCCACAGACATTTTAAACTCATGTCCCAAAGAGAATTTATCTTTCCTCCTAAAACCTCCTCTCTTTCTAACTTCACTCTCACTCTTGAGGAAGCCACCATCCTCAGTTCCCTGGGCTTGAAACCTTTGTGTTAACCTTGACTCTTCACTCTCCTTCACTCTTCATATACAACCAGTTATCAAGATCTGTCATTTCTACCTTCACAACATCTCTCCTATATGCCCCCCTTCTCTCCTCTAAAACTGCAACACCTATTCTGGTGTAGGCCCTTATCATCTCACACCTGAACTATTACAAATACCCTTCTGGCTGGTCTCCCTACTTCAAGTTTCTCCCCACTCCTATCCATTCATTGTTCTTCCTAAAACATAAATCTTACCATATCGCCCCCCCTTCTCACAAAACTGGTGTTTTTGTTTGTTTGTTGTTTTTTGCCTTTCTTTGTATCCCTAGTGCTTAGTACAGTGCTTGGCATATAGCAGGCATGTAAAAATGCTAGTGAACTGACAGGGAAACTTATGAAGATTTGTATGAATTGATGCAGAGGGAAATGAGCAGAACCAACAGAACAGTCTATACAATAACAACATTGTAAGGGCAAATGACTTTGAAATGCTTAAGAACTAAGAATTAATGCAATTAGCAACCATCATTCCAGAGGACTCAGGGTGCAAAATGAGGAACATAATTTCTGGCATGGCCAATGTGGAAATTAATTTTGCTTTACTATATGTATTTGTTACAAATGGTTTTTTTTTAATGGGAGGATGTGGGATGGAGAGAACATAGATTTTTGTTCATTGAAAAAAAATTTTTTTAAAGGAAGGGGTTGAATTGCAAGGTATAGTTCAGCTCTAAATCCTGTTTTTTTTTCACTAACATGTCAGAGTTTGCATTCTTTTGGCACAGCCAAAAAGCACCTCCCTGCCAAAATGGGGCATCAAAATAGAACTGTGGTGGAAAATTATTAAATGGATTAATGGCTTATCAGGTCTAATTCTGCAGAGTTTTTTTTTTTTTTAAGAGGCACCGGAAAACAGTGACTTCCTGCCTTAAAAATGAACATGACAATCAGAAAAGCCTTTAGGGAAATTGGCAATGAAATTACCTATGTGATATATACACATTACATATGTAAATGATTCAAATCTTTCAATCTTTTTCATCCTTTTATTCATAAATGGATTCTGTCCTAATTCAAACGTCATCTTTTCTGTTTGCTGACCTGCCTTTGAGATCCGTTAGTTCCACCACTGGTTCCTAGCAAGGGATGTGCGCCCTGCCCTTGAGTCTCCTTCCTTTGTAGTTGTTTGTGTATGTGTGTGGTTGGGTTTTTTTTTTTCCTCTTTCTCTAATCCGAGCTCTTTTACGTTGATCCGCTGGAGGAGCATGTGCAGCTGCTTCTGCGCTCATTACAATGCTGAGCTAGAGTAGATGTCAGAGTAGGAGGCGTGAGGCTTCCTAGGACCCAGGAGAAGCCCGTTCCTCCTGCTCTGCATTGCCTTTAGTGCGGACCGGCGTGCGGCTTCCTCCTCCTATCGTAGCCTCAGCGCGGGCGGGCAGGCGGGCACCGGGGCTAGAAGCCGCCTCCAGCCTAGACCGAGGGTAGCCGTGGGTGGGAAACCGCGAGCCAGAGAGGGGAGGGAGAAGGGGGGGAGGGGTGCGTTTGTTTGCCGGGCCGTGCCCTTTGCACTGATGCTCGCCTGGAAATCAGCGGGATTTGAATTTTCATTATTCCCTCTATTAACGGGGTCTGTTCATTTATTTATTTATTTGAAGAGGTGGTGAGGTCGTGGGGCATTGCCAGGGCTGCAGGTTTCTCTAGGCTTGCACGAGCGGTTGCCCTGCCCCCGCACCACCCAGGCTCCCGCGCCCCAGGGGAAGGGCTGTGAGTGAAGGTTGGGTGGGTCAGGCCGCGGCCCGAAGGCATCCCTAGGGTGGTCTGAGGCCTTGGGGCGCTTGCCACGCCGGGTAGCCGCACGCCACCGAGCACGGGATTGGGAGGCAGAGCTGGCGTCCCCGGGCCGCGGTGGGGTGGGCGGGGGCGCGTGACGCGCTCGCGCGCGGGCACATTGGATGCGTCTCTCCCAGGACTCCCTGCCCACCCTCCCCTCCTCTTTAAAGAGCGGCAGAGCAGGGTCGTTAGCTTGCAACACCCCCGTGGGGCATTGTGTGTGTTTGTGTGCCTACGTGGGCAGGGGGGGCGGAAAGGGCAGTGAGCCCGGGGCCGGCCTCGGAAGTTTGTAGCCTTGCTCAGAGCAACCTAGCTCCTCCCGAGGCTGTTGCAGTCAGCTGGAGTTAGGAGGCTTTGGGGAGTATTGTGTATGCGTGTGGGGGCGTCAGGGAGATTGGGAGGGAGGCTACAATGGGCACCACCAGGCACAGCTGGCACTTGTAGAGCCGGGCCGTATCCTGAGCCAGGCAGGCTCGCTTATTTGGCTGCAGCTCCGTTTACACCCCTCAAAGCCATCACCCAGGAGAAAGGCGTAGTATGCTGGACCTAGGGGCCTCAGAGCCTTGAGGTGCATTCGGACAGAGTGCCTTTGTGACTTAAGTGTCTGAGGAGATTTGGTTGGCATATTTTTGGTGAGAGGCTTAGGGGCTTTCCTACCATTTCAATGGCCAACACACGGAGTATTGAGCTGGAACATTTTGAGGAGAGGGACAAAAGGCAGCGGCCAGGCTCCAGGAGAGGGGGGCCCAGCTCCTCAGGGGGCAGCAGCAGCTCAGGCCCCAAGGGGAATGGGCTCATCCCGAGCCCTGCACACAGTGCCCACTGCAGTTTCTACCGCACCCGGACCCTGCAGGCCCTCAGCTCCGAAAAGAAAGCCAAGAAGGCCCGATTCTACCGGAATGGGGACAGGTACTTCAAGGGCTTGGTGTATGCCATCTCCAGCGATCGCTTTAGGTCCTTCGATGCCCTCCTCATGGAGCTCACCCGCTCCCTATCAGACAATGTGAACCTGCCTCAGGGAGTCCGAACCATTTACACCATTGATGGCAGCCGGAAACTCACCAGTCTGGAGGAGCTGGTTGAAGGTAAGAAAGTGGCAGGTGGCCACTCCTCGGGTGCTGCCGCAGGATGCTGTGGTGGAGCAGGTGGAACAGCAGGGAAACTTATAGAGCGAATTCCCTTCCATTTGCTAACTCTCCATCCTCTTGTGTGGTGTTTCCCCTATGGCTTTCCCAGCTATTGAAGCTTCATGTGTGTGCTCCTTTGCGTACTGTGTCTAAAACACGCATATGTTCTGTTTGAACTTGTAAAACCCCTTTGGTGCCGAGCAGACTGCGATCCAATATTTACCTTAAAGTTCTTTATTATGTTTCAAAGATCAGCTCAAATACCATCTTCTATTTCCTGATTTCCCCCTCCCCCCCACCTTAGGCCCCAGTGTACCCTCAATTACTTTCATTTATTCTGTATACACAGTTATATGTATACATGTTGTTTCTTCCTGGTAGAATGTAAGCTCCTTGAGGGCAAGAACTGTTTAGTTTTTGTCTCTGTATCCCCAGTGACCAGCACAGTACCTGGTACATTAATAAATTCAGAATGAATGAATGAAGCACAAACCAATACAGAGAAGCAACTTTCTCTACAGAGATCTGTACATCCCTTATACCATTTAGTTATTCACTCAGCAAACACTTGAGTGGCTACTGTGCCAGAGCCCTATGCTTGGCCTTTGGGAGATTAAAAACTTAGAAAAGGTATAATTCCTGGATTCTCTTCGAATTTATTCACAAAATCAAAGGCTGAGAACTGCAGGAGGCCTTGAGAGGTCTTCTAGGTGAATCCACTTGTTTTACATATGAGGTTGTTCTGCTAGGATACCGCTACTTACAGTGGGAAGAATTTGGAGTCAAATGGCCTGGGTTCAAATTCCAGTGTCTCCTGCCTGTCGCCTTTGTGACCTTGAGCAAGTCTCTTAACTTCCCTTAGTCCTCAATTTGCTTCTCTGTAAAATGAATGGATTGGATCACACATCCTCTAAGGGGTCTTCCAGATCTAAATCTGTGATCTTATGATGACAAAACTGAGGTCCAGAGAGGTTACTTACAGTGATTTGGGGCATATAATACAGATGACTATAATATACAAACATATCTTAAGCATTTTTTGTTGTTTGGTTGTTTTTCAGTCATGTCTGACTCTTCATGACCCCATTAGGGGTTTTCTTGGCAAAGATATTGGAGTATTTCCCATTTCCTTCTCCAGCTCATTTTACAGATGAGGAAACTGAGGCAAATAGAGTTAAATGTCACACAGCCAGTGTCTGAAGCCAAATTTGAGCTCATAAAGCTGAGTCTTCCTGACTCCAGGCTAGCAGTCTATCCAGTGTGCTACCCACTTGCCATAAGTGTTTTAAAGAAGTACAAAATAAAGTGGTATTTGAGGTAGAGGAGAACTGAAGATTTCATGAATGAGATGTCATCTGATGAATAACGCTTTAATGTACTGTACTTGGAACATGCTTTACTTATTTGATCATTATCCTTAAAACTCTCTGGTGTGTCTCTTTCAATGGAGCATCTGTGAGTTTAGATCACACACATCTAGGAGTATGATACAGGTTTTTCTGAGTAAAGCCATTTTATTTGTGAGTAATAGTGTCGATATATATCTGTACCTGCAGAAAGTAGACGGGTGCAGAATTACAGGTAAAGACCATTGGAGACAGTAGATGGTTACTCTGAAAGAATAACCTCTAGATGTTCAACTTTATTTCATTCAACACAGGGATCCCAGGACTACAGAAAAAAGGTCACTTTATTTTAGTTGAAGAGGTGTTTGTCTTTTTCAGTTCTTCAACAAAAAGAGGATACAGTGAAGAAACAAGATTAAGTCCCTGCCCTCAAGAATTTTACAATCCAGAAGGGAAAATAAGATAATCTTTAAATGTGGATTAAGCACCTACTGTGTGCCTATGCTTTGGGCTAAGTGAGGAGATAAAAAGAATGAAGTGAAAGTCTCTACCTTGTAGGAGCTTACATTGTAATATGGGAGACAACACGAACAAATTAAAAGTACGTACAAGATTGACACAAAGTAATGCTGACACGGGGGATCGTGGGACTCAAGGAATCAGAAAAAGCTTTATATAGAAAGTGACACTTGAGCTAAATTTTGAATGAAAGTAGGGATTCTAAAAGTTAACACCAAAAGTTAAAGGTGAGGAGAGAGTGCATTCTGGGTATGGTGAGCAGTCGTAGAGGTATGGTGGCAAGATCATGTGTGAGGAATGGCAAGTAGACCAGAATGGCTGGACCAGTAACAGTAATGTCAATTATAAGTTCATTGGAGAGAGCCATGTCAGTGATTTGAAAGATATGAGAAGGGAAAGTTTTTTTCTTATTCCTGGGGACCTCTGGAAATTCAGGAAGACCTGAATTGAGCCTTGGAGGAAGGGAAGGATTTCAATAGGAGTTAGGCAGATATTCCAAGATTGGTTTACTATGTAGGTAAAAACGGGGTTTTAGATGGGAAAGGGATGATGAGTAATCCATTTTGCTGGAACTGTTGTGCGTGAAGTGGAAATGAGAAGGTTGAAACAATGATATTGAGGGATGAAAACCGGGTTCCATGTTTATATGGCATCCAGGAAGATGAGACAGAGTTAGATTATATTGATCCTAACCTCCAGTATGGTATGGTGGAAAGTGTTGAATTTGGAGTCAAGTACTTAGGTTCGAATCCCAGCTTGCTTGCTTACTACTTGATGCATGATCTTGTTCAAGTACTTAGGCCTCAGTTTCCTCATCTGTAAAATGACAGATTTGGACTAAATGACCTCTGAAGTCCCTTGAATCCCTTAGTCTATGAACCTAAGATCCATGTACTTATGTTTTTGTATATGTTATTGTTCAGTCATTTTTCATTTGTTTCTGAGACTCTGTTGACCCCTTTTGGGTTTACTATTTCCTTCAGCTTGTTTTACAGACAAGGAAACTGAGGGAAACAAAGTTAAGTGACTTGCTTAGGTTCACACAGCTGTAAAGTGTCTGAGGCCAGATCTGAACTCAGGAAAATGAATCTTCCTGACTTCAAGCCTGGCACTCTATCCACCTTGCTACCTAGCTGCTCCTTTCTATATATAGTTAACTCTTGATTACATATGAGTAAGGAGAGGGCAAGGATGCCCATAATCCCAAGTGACAGTGTTCAAAAGCCAGTTCCTTTTCACTCATATTTCTTGGAAGTCATATTTGAAAATAGATGTATCTTATCTGAGAATTCACAGCACTTTTAATATACTTATTAAAGCTATATTGAAAAGATCTATTTCAGAAGTCAGTCAGTAGGCCTTTATTAAGTGCTTTCTGTGTGCTAAGCTGGAAAATTGTCCAACTTCTCCATTCAATGATTACTTTCTGGCTTGTTCACTGTTACTTGATACAGGGAGTCTAGCCTAAACTAATTTACACTTCTGCTTTCTAATCCCATTTTATTTGCTATTTTTTCCTCCTCTGCTTTTGGTTGGGGGAAATAATTGTGCATTTTGGATTAAGGCCTTCTTTTGTTGGGAAAAGCTGTAGGTGAATAAAAGTAAAGCTCAAAACTAAGAAACTGATAATTTCAGCAGAGGATTTCATCACCTCAACTCGATTATGTTGATAAGAAATTGAAAAAAATTATTTGGGTAATCACAAATTGGGAGGTAGGATGATGTAGTGGAAAGAACACTGGATTGGGAAGCAAAGGAATCTGGATTTGAATCTTACCTCTGCTATTGTTACTGGTGTGAAATTGGACAAGTCACGTTCCTTTTCTTCACTTGTCTGCTAGCTGCAAAATAATGGGGTTGAATTAGATGACCTTCAAGATCTCTTTCAGTTATAAACAAAATCTATGATTGATTGTGAATTAGCCTTATGTAGATTAAACTAATTGATTTAGGAAGTTTATAAGTCCGTATCAGGTTTCTCCTGCCATCTACAATTCCCTCTTCTTTGGCATCACTAATTTTGTTGATGGAATGATGATGGAATTTAATTCCAATGTTATTACAAATGTAGCAACAGTAGTAGTAGCATAGGGAGCTGGCCTTGAAGACAGAAGACCTGGCTTTAAATCCAGTCTCTGACAAATACTGGCTGTGTTACCCTGGGTGAGTCCCTCAATTTCTCAGTCCCCCAATCAGGTCTCTAAGACTACACAGTACAGAGAAAGTGTTGGGCTGCACTGGTAGAGTAAGTTTACCCACCTGGTAGTTCCCTCTAGCCAGGAACTCACAGGTCTAGTTCCCACCTTCTATTATCACCAAACATAAATTTGCTGCATGAAATTTGTGTGATGTGGAAAGACCACTGGACTGAGAGTCAAAAAATCTGGATTAGAACTCTGGCTAAACTACTTATAAGCTATGTGACCTAGGCCTGTATCTTTTACTTTTCTCAGCTTCAGTTTTCTTATTCATAATATTGGGATATTATTACATGCTTTACCAGTCTCACAAGGTTGTTGTGAGAAAAGTGCCTTTCAAGCCTGTTGTTATTTGTTCCAGAGGTGAATGCCAGTCCATTAATTTGTTTTTTTTTAATTGAGTAATCATATATACACAATGTATGTAGGCACACACAAAAGATCTTAATTTCCTAGGAAACTCCCTATATGGGAGCACCCTCCACTGAGACCACAACCTTTTTTGAATAATAGCTCTTAGTTAAGTGACTTGCTCAGAGTTGCTGAGCTAGTCAGTTTCAGAATTGAGATTTGAACTCACATCTTCCTAAATCCAAGCTCAGCTTGGTATCTGCTGTATCATGGTGGCTAACTTCCTTGCCCCTTCATATTTAAAGTACCCAATGGCTGCCTGGTTCACTGATAGAGGTGTCAACCAAGTTTGTGGTAAGAAGAAAGGCATCTGAATTAGAAAACAGGAAGCCTGGGTTCCATTCTGTACTCTGCTACTGTATGGCTTTGGGAAAGTCAGCAACCCCACTGTGGGCCTCAGTTTCTTCATCTGTAAAGTGATACCAGATAGCGTGACATCTAATATCCCTTCTGGCTTTAATGTTATGTGTTCTAGGCTCTCAGA